TTTTCACCAGAATCTATCTTACATATTTATATGTCTACCACTTATCCTTGCTTTGAATATTGGATATCACATCTGGTCTGGTTCTTCTGCTGTATATTTAGAGATTCTTTATAAAATCCAAAGAAAAATCCGCAACGTTCTTGGTCCTGATCGGTCATCTCGGCATCAGTCATTTTTCCCATCTCTGTAATGTCTCTTCTATACGTTTTATATAAATACTTTTATAACAATTAATCTGATGAACTTTTTTCTGTGGTACCTAGACTTTATGACGAGAATATCGACAAGATCTCATCCTTTTACAATTGAAATATCTAGAACCGTAAGTCCTATGACAACAGTTTCTTCTGTCGCACTTTCCTCTTGTGGGACACTCTTCCGGCTTCTTCCTTCCAAATCAATTTTCATCTTCAAAAATTTAGCTGCAATGTCAATCGTCACCATTTACTTTCTTTCTCTCTTCTTAATATTGATTTGTTTCTCGTATTCTCTAACACTTAGTACTTGCGTTTTAGCGGCTTTGTTGTCTTGCTTGGGTTGAAATGATTAAAACAAAGTATTAGAATATAGGGAATTTTCGTTAAATACTGATGAGCTTCTAAATATAACTACCCTCCTACATATCAGTGAATATCTCCTCACAGATTAAGAAGAGACCTGAATCGTCAAAGATATACTTCTTTTTTCTTTTCTTTTTCATAAGCATTTCACGCCAAGCAAGGTAGGAGCGCCACTGATTCACAAGGGATTTCATAGTGTGAAGGTGAGAGAAAAACTGTGTATAGGGGGAATGGGAAAAGGATAAAAGATGGACGGTGTTCAAGACATCAGAAGATGGCGATTGGCGTTGCATTTACATTGTAGTTATCAGGGAAGCAAGTAAACGGGTGTTTCACAGGCAGGAAATGGGTGGGACCTAGATGCCAGTCTAGTAGCACGCTTAAATTTATGTAGTCGGGGCACCAGGGGGAAAAAAGATCGATAGAACAGTTGCCATGCAAATATCTGCAGAAAAGACAGAGGGAAGTCACATCACATCTGTGAGAAAGTGAATGCAGCCGAGATGCCAAATCAGGATCTATTATATTGCAGATCCTTCTTTGGATTTTGTCAAGAACCCTGTGATGAACAGCTGGGGCACCAGACCAGATATGGCAACAATACTCAATGCACGGACGAATGGTAGATTTATAGATAAGTAAGATGGACTCTGACGAGATAAACCTTATGGCACGATACAGTGAGGCAACTTTTCTTGCAGCAGAAGCGGCTATTGATTCAATGTAGTTGTTCCAAAATTCGATAGGGTAAGTCCAAGAAGGCACAGAGAGATATTCTCCTGGAGTTTAGCATCAACCAAAACCATGCTAATGGCGGACAGTGGTGGTTAAATGAGAGCAATTTCGTTTTAGAGGCATTAAAATTTACAAGCCATTTCCTACCCCAATTAACCACTGATTGAAGGTTCTTTTCAAGAGCAGTGACCAGGTTGACTTTGTCAGCGCTGTTGGGTTTAATATTGAGACAGGAGTAAACGGTAGTGTCATCTGCACAGATACCTACTTGGGAGCTGATGACATCAGGAAGGTCATTGGTGAAGATCAAAAACAGTGTAGGACACAGGATAGAACCTTAAGGAATGATCTGGAAGCATGCCTGTTCAGAACGACCTTCATTTCACGATTTGAAAGAAATGATTGGATTAAATCAGATAATCGTCCTGTAATACCGTAGCCCTGAAGCTTACGCAGAAGACCAGCATGCCTAGCACTGTCAACGCCTTCGAGATATCTAAAGCCACAGCTAGAGTTTCGCACTTCTTATAAAGAGCATAATATATATATATATATATATATATATATATATATATATATATATATATATATATATTTAATTATGCCCGTGAGCACATCAGCGATAGACGGGGCAAAGCGAAATCCATATTGTTTGTCAGAGAGTAGGTGTTGGGAGTTATGATACTTAACCACTTCAGCATTGATTAAGGCCTTGAAGACTTTGCCGGAGGTACCTGAAGGGACACCCTTCCATGCGCGACATGTCGGTGCAAGAACCCCGATATGATGCAACTGTTCATCAGAGCAGCCTCTCAAGACTCTACGCAAGAATTCGGGGCCCTGAATAACAGTCGGGAACAGCAACAAGAAAACTGCCAACCCGGTACCCTCAGTATGAAGAGACGTTGCCACCAACCACACACATTACAAGAAACTCATGACAGCGCCACTATTAAGGCATGAGAAAAGGAAAGAAACCGGAAACCCCTTCCTACACAGGAAACAAAGGGTGAGCCTCTACTCCTGTCCAAGAGAAAGAGGAGGTGGTATAGACCGGCCGATAGGAGAGCATATCTACTCCTATTAAAAAAAAGACAACAACAAATAAAGGTTTGATTTCCACATACATCATTACAGAGATCGTAGAAAGAAGGCATACCTGTGCACGGGTGGGATAAAAAAAATGTAATTTGGAATAATTAAGTTTTAACTTAGTAAAAGTCCGAATACTGACTTTTTGGGACCCGGCCAGTGAACCGGAAACGGAAAAAAATCAGAATAGATCGTATGACACCTGAGAAAAAATTAACACTGTCTTAGTACAAAAATTAGTTTTAAAAACAAGTTAAATTTCATAGTAGAGACAAAAAAATATGAGAGAAGGATGTTGAGAATACCGAACATGTGAGCAACGGGGAAGTTTTAAAAAATAAAGGAAGGAAAATTATACGTATACTTACAATCAGAAAGAGACAATTGAAATTGTTGGGAGCATGGAAAGCTCAGAGAAACCAACAATCACGGAACAAGAAGGGCAGATGGGAACGGGTTTATGTAAAACGATGGAAGAGCAGAGACTTGGAGAGATGATAAGAAGACAAACGTTGCATAGAACCACAAAGGGCGAGAATATTCTACTAGGGTGGCTAGCCAATCCCTACTGCAGACACTTGCTCAGGTGCATTATTGCTTATTCAACGCCCACAGATCCCACCTGTGGTTTATACTGCAACTTTACTGAGCAGACCGTAGTCACAGTTTCTGGGAAAGAGCGTGTTATCTAGCATGATCAACAATTTGAACAGGGTCAGAATGCCCAAGCCCTCGGCCACGATGACTTGTGACTTCATGCTAGCACAGCTATCGACGGCCCCCAAGTGCTCCCTCTAGCCATTCTCACTCACAGGGCTTGAGTCAACCCTTGGTATGGCTTTCAAGCACTTTTCAAAGTTAACGCACGCTGGGATCGACCCCTCCAGTCTGACAACATCAGGAAGTCTTCTTCCTGACAAAACGACTATGGTGAGATTCGAACCCGGGTTTCATGGTCAGAATGCGGCTACGTGCCCCAAAACTACAAAAGGCAGGAAGCTGTAGAGAGCCATGATCACCCATAAATGCCGAGCAAAGCCTTTCAGCAAGAAGGTATGATACACTCGTAAAAACTATTAATTTACAAGTAATAGAATACATTAGAACCATAAAGTTATTGGATTTGAGGGACTTTTGGAAGTTTTACTCATGCCGTTGGTAGGTAGGTAGGTAGGTAGGTAATCAAACAAGTATAAACAAGCGTATATAAGTATATTTTCAATATAAAATGTTATTATTCTATATTTATCTTTAATAGCATAATTGAATTTAATATCCAAAATTTTTAATATCCAAAACTGTTATATTGGGTATTTGCGTCTATGTGTGCGTTTAAGTGTATGCATGTGTTTGAGTGTATGTTTGAGTGGATATATATGCGCGCGCAAGAGAGAGAGAAAGAGAGAAAAACTGTTAATGTATTTTGATAGAAACTCTAAAACAATTTAAATTGGAGTTGCGTATAGCAGCTTCCAATTTTAAGATTTTGACGGATAAGCACACAGCAAGTCATTTAATATGAAAATCTGATACGCGGGCGCTATTGAGAAGAAAGAAAAAAAAGAGGCAGGAGAGACTAGAAGCTAAGAAAGAAAGAAAGAAAGAAAGAAAGAAAGAAAGAAAGAAAGAAAGAAAGAAAGAAAGCGGAAGAATAAAAAAAAATAAAGAAATCAAATAAATGTGAAAGCACCAGGGGCCAAGATGGAAAGAAAGAAAGAAAGAAAGAAAGAAAGAAAGAAAGAAAGAAAGAAAGAAAGAAAGAAAGAAAGAAAGAAAGAAAGAAAGAAAGAAAGAGGGAAAATAAAGAAAGAAAATGTGAAACATAAGGACACAAAAAAGAAAGAAATGTGAGAAAATGAAAACTTCAAAAGTAAAGAAAAAAGAAAGATTAATGACAAAGAACGTAAAAGTGTGAAAACTTTATGCACAAAAAATTAACATACTGAAAACGAAAGCTTAGAAGAAAAAGAAAAAAGAAGGAATGTTGAGAAGGAACCAAATCTCTTTCAAATAGGAAAGGAAACTCGAAAGAAAGAAACTCGAATGAAGTGTGAAGAGTGATGCAAAATAAAATGTTTTGTGAACTCTTTTGTAAAAGAGATTAAAAATGAATCGCGAAAATTCAAATGAAAAGAGAAAGAGTTGCAAATAAAAATGTTGAGAAAGGTATGCCTAAAATAAAACAGTGAGAAAAAAAAACAGCAAGTTATTTAAAGCGTGGGTGGGGATATCAAGAATAGGGCCAAGTAAAAATGACGGACAGAAAAACAAGGAAAATGCGAAAAGCGAATGCAATAAACAAAGAACTGTCTAGAATGGCATACCATCTAAAATCGATCTCATTGAACCTTCTCCCTTTACCCTCTAAATTCAGCCGACCTCTTTGTACTCGTTACCGTTAAATAGCTTTCCTTTCAATTTCATCTCACTCCCGTTTTTATTATTATTATTATTGTTGTTGTTGTTGTTGTTGTTGCTGTTGTTGTTTCTTTTAAGTCTGCGAAATTTTTCGTAATAATTTCAAAATCAAACCCAATTATCCCTTCAGGGTGGGCTCATTCAAATGAACCCAAGCGTTTCGGTTCATGGCACTCTGATAACTGTGGTGTAAAAATGACAAAAGCGACAGAAAGAAAAGCTTTTAGTGGTTGATTTTTTCATTTAATTCTTTATCACTTTCTTCTTTCTTCAGAACATTCTTACTTTCTTTCTATTTCTCTTTTTCTTTTTTTACTCCTTTCTTTTTTTTTTCTTTCGTTCTTTCATTTTTCTTTGTTTTTTTTTTAATCCCTTTTTTTATTCTTTTGTTGTTTCTAGTTTTTATTTCTTTTTTTTCTCTCTTTTTCTTTAATTTCTTTATTTTTCCTTCTTTATTTCATTCGGCCTTTTTTCTACCATGTTCTCGATTTTGCATTTTCTTTCTTTCTTTTTTATTTACTGTTTCTTATTATTCTCGTTCGCACTTTTTCACTTCTCTTTCGTTTATTTTCTTCTTTTTTTTTTTAATTTACATTTCATTTTTACATTTTTATTCATATTTATTTATACTTATTCTCCTTCAATTTCGTTTCGTCGTTTTCCTTTTTTCTTCACTGTCTTATTTTGCTTGTATTTCTTTTTCTATTCACCTTCTTTGCTTTTGTTTTGTTTTTTGTTCTTTTTTTTTTTGGTTTTGTTTTGTTTTTTTGTTGGTTTGTTTTTGGGGTTTTTTTTTTTGTTTCTGGACAACTTTTTCCTTTATTAATTTACTTATATATATATTTTTTAATTCTTTCTTTCTTGTTTTGCTTTCTTTCTTTCTTTATTTCTTTTTTCTTTCTTTACCATTTTTATTTTATTTTGTGGCTTTTCATTCCCGGTTCTTTCTTCTTTCTTTCTTTCTTTTTAATTCCTTTTCTTTTTTTCCTTCTGCTTCCCTTTTTCATCCTTGTTATTCCTTTTCTTTTCTTTTTTGTTTGTCAGTTATCTTTATGTATTTGTTTTATTTTTCTTTCAGTTTTTCTTGCTTCTTCTTCTTCTGATTTTCTCGTTCTCTGCTTTCATTCTTTCATTTCGTTCTCTTTTATTCTTCCTCATACTCGTTTTCATAGATTTCTTCAGATATTTCTGCCTTTTTCTTTTCTCTTTACTCTTTTCATGTCACTCTCACTTATTATTTTCTGTTCCTTGAATTTCCTTTATTAGTTAATTTTCTTTCCTTATATTTAGTTTTCTTCTTCTTTTTCTTCGTTAATATCAACCTTCATCTACCTTTATTTCATTGTTCTCTTATACTTGCGTTTCTTTCTTTTTTCCTTTCTTTTTCCAATTCTTATTTAACAAACTTCGTATATTCTTAATATTCCTCTGTCTTTTTTTTTTGTTTCACTTTCTTTTTCCTGCATTTCTTTCTTTTTTCTCCCCTCCTATTTTATTCCACTTTTTTTCATTCTTCCTTCATTATTTCCTCATTATTTCTGTTTTGTGTTCTTCAGATTCTTTCTTTCTTTCTTTCTTTCTTTCTTTCTTTCTTTCTTTCTTATTTGCCAAACAGTTTTGTCCATGTATTTTTTAGCCCCCTTGCCTAGTTTCTCTTTCATTTTATTTTTATTTTCTCTTCGTCAATTTCTCACTTATTTTCTTCTTTTTTTATCTGATTCCGTTTTTCTTCTTTCTTTCTTTCTTTCTTTCTTTCTTTCTTTCTTTCTTTCTTTCTTTCCGTTTAGTTTTTTCAGACTTCTTCCTTTTTTTCTCCCTCTCTTTTTCTTTCTCTCTTTCACCCTCGCTTTCACCCTTTCTTTCTTTGTCCCTTTCTTTCTCTTTTCCTTTCTTTTCCTTTCTTCCTCTCTTTCACCCTTTCTTTCTTTGTTTCTTTCTTTTTTCAATTTTTTCTTTCTTTCTTTCCTTCTTTCTTTCTTTCTCCCTCTCTTTCTTTCTTTCTTTCTTTCTTATTTCAATTATTATTATTTGCTAAATTCATCTATATACTCCTAAATTTCTCCATTTCTCTTTCACTTTCACTTCCACTTTCACTTTCACATTTCTCTTTCATTTCCATCGCTTCGTTTTTTTCCCCTTTGTCCTTTTAATAACCGCCTTCATTTCTCTTTCATCTTGCTATTTATTTATTTATTTCATCTGGCTTTATATTGAAAAGCCACGACGATGGCGGCAAAGCGAACGATAAAAGAAAGCCGTTCCGGTACATTTCGTCATGTGACGAAATGCACTGAAAATGTTACAAACGTCGACGAGTGCATAAGACAGCGACTCCAGCACATTTTTAGGTGAGTGTTACATTAGAAGCGGCAGCGGGAGCGACGTCAGAGGCAGCACCGGTACAGGCAGCTTCATCTGCAAAAAGATAGAGAGCTTTCGCTGCAGGTTGGCGAAAACTATTTTTGTTATTAACTGTAGTTGCATTCTTGATAAATACAATAAGAAAAGAAAAGAGGACAAGTACAGTGACTGGGAAACGCGTGCATCCATGAGTGTGTACACGGGAAAAAAATTATAAGCGTGAATCTGTCGCTTCTTTGTTTCTCATCTTAATCACACCCCTTTTCCCAACACTCTGACCGACGGAACCGTATCTACCACCTGGAGGTGTTTGAGTGCAGTTATCAGCGCATGTTGGCTGATGCATGTGTCGTCTGGTGCAAGCGTGCAGATGTGTATATGTCAACACCTCCTACTTGAGCGGGATTGGATGGGTAGGCGAATATATAAAGCTATATAGACGAGTATACAAGTATTTATTACAAGATAGATAGATAGATAGATAGATAGATAGATAGATAGATAGATAGATAGATAGATAGATAGATGTGTAGAGGAGAAGATATATACAGACACACACGTACATAAATGGATATGAGTGTCCTTGGGGATATCTTCTATTCTATCTATATATCTAGCTGGCTAGCTAGTTATCCCTCACTCATTCATTCTATCTCTCTCTTTCTCTCTCTCTCTCTCTCTCTATATATATATATATATATATATATATATATATATGAATGTGTGCTGACACGCGCACGTGTGTCAACATACGCCAAGATATATCTGTGAACGCATATATATGTGTATGAGTGTACACATTCATGGATATGTATGTGTGTATATGTATGTGCCTATATTGGTGTGCATGTGTACATATTTGTATATATATATATATATATATATATATATATACACATATATGAAGTATTCATGTATATGTATGAATGTTACTACACTTTCATATATATGTACAGTTATGTGTGTGGGAGTGCAGTGTGTACACACTGAAATATGAATGCGTACACGTTAATAGATATATGTGCCTGTCAATACATACTTGAGTGCTTTAAGCCACTGCATATACATGTATTCATGTATGTGAATGCACACCTCCACACACACATATATATGTGTGTGTGCGTACATTCATATATATGCGTGTGTGCATGTGTGTATGTTTACACATTCCGACAAATACATGTGTGTCTATGTGTGAAAGAAAGAGAGAAATGTCTATGTTTATATATTTATACATATGTGTGGGTGTATAAATATCTATATATGCGGGCGTATTTGTGTACATTCAAATACGTGTGTTTATTTTATAAATTTTTCGCCAAGCAAGGCGACAAAGCCACTAAAACGCAAGGCGTTAGTGAGAGTTAAGGAGAAGATGTTAACGATACAAAAAGAACATTAAAAGAACAGATTTTGGAAAGACCGAAGATGACGATTGACCTTCTGTTTAATTTTTTGGAAATTTTAGGTGGCTGGAAAGCAAGAACCCAGAAGAGAGTTCCACAGGCGAGAAGTATAGGTAAAGAAACTATTAGAATAGAACCTACGGTTTTCATCTAGCTATTTCAATAGTAAAACGATAAGACCCATTTGCCAATCTAGTCATGTGCTTTCAATTCATGCGGTCGCAGTACTGAGGAGGAAAGATTATTATATACTCGACTCTCCCGTTGAATACGACGTATGAGGGTCAAGCAGCTCAGTTCCTAGGAAACCGACAGCCCGACAACAGCACATGAGATTTGATTATAGTGGTGAAGGTTTCGTGCAGGACCATCCACACTTTTTGAAGGGCCGAATACAGAGACCTGGTGCACTACGTGCCACAAGGTCCCCAAACGAACCTCCGTAGGTTTTGAACTCTGAGTTGTCCTTCTCCTAGACCCGTTGCAATCTAAGGCTATAGAACCCAGTCTGTCCTGCTATTTACCCATAGCTGGAGGGAGAGGACATTCGGTGCACCAGGTCTCTGTATTCGTCCCTTCGAAGTGCAGCATTTAGTAGTTTTGGACTTCCAAAAATAGCTCCCAATATCGCAGCTATCGAAATGTAGAATTTAGTAGTTTTAGTCTTCCAAAAATAGCCGCCAATATCGCAAATATCGAAATGCAGATTTTAATAGATTTGGGCTTTCAAAAAATGGCTGCCAATATCGCTAGTACCGAAATGCAGAATTTAACAGTATGGGGATTCCAAAAATATATCCCAGTATCGCAATGAAGAATTTTGTAGTTTTGAACTTCCAAGAGAAGCCTCCAATAGCACAACTATCGAAATGCAGATTTTAGTAGTTTTGGGCTTCTAAAACTAGCTGCCAATATCGAAAGTATCGAAATGCAGAATTTATTAGTATTGGGCTTTCAAAAATGGCCACCAATATCGCAAGTATTCCAATGCAGTATTTAGTAGTTTTGGTCTTCCAAAAATAGTTCCCAATATCGCAAGTAACGAAATGCAGAATTTAGTAGTTTCTGGGCTTCCAAAAATAGCCGCCAATATCGGAAGTATCGCAATGCAGAATTTAGTAGTTTCTGAGCTTCCAAAAATAGCTCCCAAAATCGTTAGTATCGAAATGCAGAATTGCGTAACTGAGGGCATTCAAAAGTAGCCCATAATGTAGCAAGCAGAGCAATTCAGAATTTATTAGCATTGGATCAGAATTTTCTTAACGGATCTGGAAACCTTGTTGATATTGATTTTGATATGAACAAATATTTCTAGTTCGTAAACTCCATTAAACCTAGTTTAACCTAGTCTACGAACTAGAAATATTTGTTCATGTCAATATCTCTTACTTCATATTCTATTTATCTTTGTTATTCCTTTCGCCAAGTAGGTGTTTTTTTTCCAAAATGCATGTCTTCCTACACAAAAGAATAACTTCTTTGCAATGAAATGCCTTTCCTCCACCCACAAAACGTTCTCGATTCTAATATTGTTCGCATGCCAAATGTGTTAGCGTAGTTTTAAACTCTATTTAGCGGCATAATTATTAAAATTTCACGTAATGGAAGAATTAAACTAACGGACCGAGTTCATATTCCAGCTGAGGTACTTTGTATACACTTGATACTAAAAAGGTAAGTATCCATTTCTTCTTTCTTATGCCTCGGTTGTTAACCAGTCTATGAAAAGAACGACTCTGAAGAGGAATCCACTCTTCTCCAACTCAAATACATGGTAAAAATAGCAAAAATATTGGATTCAACTTTCAATCTTAGCCAAGAAAAACCTGCTATGATCGACAACTAATCTGAAGGTGGGATCCAAGGTAGATCAAAAGCCAGTAAGAAACGAGTCAATTTTTCCTTTTTGTCTGGAACTGCGCAAGGCGGTAATAACAAACGTCTCATAATGAAAGCAACGTTGTAAATAAGCCAAATCTGTATTGTTAAGTTTCTTAATTGATTCTCTTAGAGAGGTCATCGCGAAATCCAACCTAATAGGTACCTCAAAGCACAAACAACAAAGAAATCTGACATGAAATTACCTACGAAGCAGAGATTTGTTAAGGGATTTCTCCATTTGCCAATGAATGTCTCTATTCGTCAATGAATTTCTCCATATTTGTTCTCTTTGGCATTCATCTAAGCTTATTGAACGCTTACGGAGACCAAACAGTATATGTGAGCATAGGTAGTGGATAATATGGCGTGATGTTGCACTACTGTTACCCAATTAAATGAATTTGCTCGATGAAAATACTATCAGTATTTGTAGTTTGATACGAGCGAGTGACGTTTCTGAATATTTCTTTTCATATCATTTCTTATTTTCCGTCTGAATTTCTGGGATGAGGAGTTGTCATTACTTACATTAGAACTAATAACCTTATTGAACACTTTATTTAATCTGCGAGGCGTATTGTTCCTTTCACTGTCCATGCCTAGGGATACCTCATCTTGATTTTTTTTAGTACCGCCCAATTGGTTGCTTGTCTTGTTTCCGCTAAGTAGCGACCCAGAGATTATACTTAAAATGTCTATGTAACCAAATCAACACTTAAATCCACGTGGCTATTGTTCAATGGCATCATTTTTTTCTCATAGAATTGATATTACGCATTTTTTAACAATCTACCCTCAAGCAAGGCGATAATGCCACTAAGCCACAAATGACTACTGAGAGTGAAACAGTATGAAAAGACTTTAGAAAGAAATGGAAACCAAACCCTAAGCAGGAAAAAAGGGATATACCTCTAATCCTGTTCAAAAGACCGGAATGGGGCAGTGAACCGCACGATAGGCGAACCTATCTACTCCTATTAAAAGAAAAATAAATAAATAAAAGAAAATAAATAAATAAAAATAATAGTTAACAGTAAATAAAATTTCAGAGTTCAGGCGAAGACGCTAGAAGTACAAAGTTGAAGTAGACTTTAGAAGGACCTGGAAATGCAATCCTAAACAGGAAACAAGGGATAAACCGCTACTCCTGATAAAAAAAAAGCTGGGAGGCGTGTAAACAGGGCGATAGGCGAAGCTATCTACTCCTATTCTACTTATATGACAAGATTTGTATTATTAATTAAAATGTCCGACATATTTTTTGAAAATTAAATTTTGCGAGATAATTTTAGCTCGTTCTATACCGTTGCTTTCAAAGATAGGGTACATTTTTTTACCTATTATGTCAATTTTCAAGACCTACAAACAAATCCTTTTTAGATCTTGAAGATTGAGAGCTGCTTTTTT